AGTTAAACAGATTGTATATGCGTTGGACACTTTGCCAGTAATTCCCGGTCATTATAAGAAAACAGCCAATCAGAGTGCATTGTACTATTGTAGCCATAGAACAATCGGCCATAATATTTCTGACATGATTTAATAACTTTAGCAGTTTTAAGCTGCTAAATTAATTAAATTATGTTAGTAATATTATACTGGTCCTCTTGATGCGTCATAAGAAAACAACAGGTGTTGTAATCACTGAAAGCATCTCGGTAATTAACAGTTCAAGCTGTTTGTTATTTCAGGTGTGGTTTTTTTTTTCTTTCAAAGAAAGGCTCTCCTGAACTTATTTTCTTTTGCTGACCAAAGTAATAATAAGATTTCTGACATAATTTAATAACTTTAACAGTTTTAACCTGTTAAACTAATTAAATTATGTTAGTTATATTATGCTGGTCCTCTTGCTGCCTCATGAGAAGACAACAGGTGTTGTAATCACTGAAAGCATCTCGTTAATTAACAGTTCAAACTGTTTTTTAACTCAAGTGTAGTTTTTTTCTTTTAAAGAAAGGCTATGCTGAACTTATTTACTTTCGCCTGACCAAGGCAATAATAATATTACTGACATGATTTAATAACTTTAACAGTTTTAAGCTGTTAAACTGATTAAATTATGTTAGTTATATTATGCTGGTCCTCTTGCTGCCTCATGAGAAGACAACAGGTGTTGTAATCACTGAAAGCATCTCGTTAATTAACAGTTCAAACTGTTTTTTAACTCAAGTGTAGTTTTTTTCTTTTAAAGAAAGGCTATGCTGAACTTATTTTCTTTCGCCTGACCAAGGCAATAATAATATTACTGACATGATTTAATAATTTTAACAGTTTTAAGCTAATAAAATTATTAAATTATGTTAGTAATTTTATACTGGTAATTATTTTCTTTCGCCTGATTAAAGTTTCACTACCAAGCTTTTGTTTATAAGCAAAATTCTTTTCATTCCTTTGCGATTCCCAGAGGTTACTTCAATAGACTAAATTTCACTGTAAGGCTGCGTGCGAACGGACGCAACATTGTTGACCAACAACTCCCAACATTATTGGATGTTACATGGTACGTCCGTTGGCACACCCTGTTGCATGTTGTTGCGCAAAGTTTGAAACCGGTCAAACTTTTAGCCCCGTGCAAACGGACGCAACAACTCCCAAAATTGTTGGGAGTTGTTGCGCCCGTTTGCACGTAACCTAAGAGTGCTAATGTGAGTAATTTACTTGTTCATCATAATTAGAATGCGGTCAGCGATGACGATGACCGCGTCTTTTGAAGCTCAGTAGTTTTGTGTCAATCTTGTTAATGGGCCATAATTAGTTTTACTATACTGTGCCCTTCTCCATTCTTAATTTCTTTGCTAACCTAATGTACATGTAGTTTTCAGTCTAAACACTGATGCACTGATGCACTATTTTTTTGATAGAATGGAGTAAATAGAAATAAAAGTACAAATAGAAATGTTTAACCAGGATGATAACCGGCTAATGTTGGGTCCATATTGTAATTTTGTATGAGTGTTTTCAGTGTACACATGTTCTTCTTTTTTATCAAGTTTCCCACAGACCTTGGACGGATCGCAGTGTAAAAAGCTCCAAGAGATAGTGCTTAACATAATGTCAGGTGATCTACCCACTTACGTGGCATCCTTTGGTAACTCCGATGTGAACAGTGTGGGTGATTGGGTCAAAATTCTTAATTCCAAACCAGCAAATGAGGTAAATAAATGCCGGGTATACTCTTTTTTTTTTATAAGAATGTTGTTTTTTCGGCCGAGGCTGAATATTCTTATTTTTCTGCCGATTTTAGGCTGAAAATATTCTTGTATTATTCTTAAATTATAGCTTGTGACATTTCCGTTTTAGAATTTATTGGGGTATCAATTACAAGTGTTTGGTATCTAGATCTGTGCTGAATATTGTACATATGTATTACATGTACCGTTCATCGAACTGTCATTAGCGTTGAACATTTTTCTGTAGCTAGTCCAGGTTTTTTCGTTTTGTTAGCTAGTTTCGCCGTTCAGAGAAAGGAATAATTTTATACGGTTAAGTTAAAAACATAAAATTGTATTGTATTTACAGATGTTTCAACACACAAAATTATATCTATCCTTTTCAAAATCTCAGCCTCGGCTTTATTCTTAAAATGTTCTTAAAATTTCGCCAATTTCAGCCTCGATATTCTTATAAAATATATTCTTACAAAAAAAAGGAGTGTATTTGATGCTGATTGTTATCTTCTCCTGAGTAGATGAGTCAACGACTTTTACAAGATAACTTTACGACTGAAATATTTTTCACCTTACAAGATATATTTTTTAACTGCGGCAGATTTATATCAGTCCATAGAATGTTGCACGGCAGTGCGGAAGGTCGCGGGCTTGATTCCCGGAGCCGGACCAATGCTTAGGGTGTTCAATTAACTGAGAAATAAAGGCACTGCCTTTGTCCTGCAAAACGGAAATTAACTGAGAAATGAACGCAGTAAATTAAGGCATTGCCTTTGTCCTGCAAAACGGCAATTAACTGAGAAATGAAGGCAGTAAATAAAGGCACTGCCTTTGTACTGCAAAACGGCTACACCGTCGCGTAGCTCTGATCGATAGAAATGGCGCGTTCCCGTCTGCATTAGGAGGCGTGATAAAACGTACTGTCTTGCTATGTACAACTGAAACTGCTGTGTTTATTGAAACTTTAAAAATTTTTTTTGTTTTTTAAAGTATTTGATTGATTTTGCTTCGAATACTCGTTCTTGGGTTTGTGGTCATTTTGTTTAAATTTAGGTTGCTTTTAAAAATTTCTTTCTTTGATAGGCTGAAGAAGGAAATGGTGGCTGTCGGAATATGATACTTGGACTTCACATTGAAGTTTTGTTCGCTAATTTTGGTTTCCTGGCTAACCCTCAACCAAAGGTAATAAATGCTTTTTTTCTTTGGTCTTTTTGTTTATTGGTGTATATCATTTTCTTTTGTCCTTTATTTGGTTTCTGCTTGGATAACCTTCCTTTTGGTTTCTTTATGGAAGTTTGAATCGGAGTGCAACTTTATGCCATTATACAACATAACAGACGGGCCCATTCGTGGGGCCTAAAGTTAGAAAGATGCAGAGGGCCATTTGATACAGTTGAACTTCTCTACAAACGGCCACCTTGGGGACAGAAGAAAGTGACCGTTGTAGAGAGGTTTTAAACAAGAGTCAATGTATGATTTTTTTTCCGCCGGGACGAAAAACAGTGGCCGTTGTAGAGCGGTAGCCGTTAGCGGAGCTTCGACTGAAGTTATCATCATCATCATCATCGTCATCATATTCATCATCATCTTACGGCTCGTTATTACTTCTTTCAGACAAACCCATTCGCTGTTCTGCCATACACTTACCTTATCCTTTTTCTGTTGTGCTATACTTGCTAAGAGGAATTAATGACAATCTAGGCTATTGTAAAGGGTATTTTGCTTTACGTGATTTTCAGATTGTCGGAGTTATGTTTAAGTATGACGATCGTAAAGATGTTCCATACCAGGTAAGTGAATAAAGTGTTGTTGTTGTTGAAAGTAGCCAAATTTTAATTCACCTATTACTGGAAACGTTGCAAACAGGTTCCGTAATCACTTGTAGACTCTTCATTCGACCTATAACGAGTTACGCATAAGCTAGTCGTTAAGATGCTACGCGTTTCTGTCATGCATTACGCTAATTTCACGGCCAATAAAGTACTTGGAATCCAATCGTCAAATTATCGATAGACATGAGAAGTCCTTTCAAAAGCAGCATCTCCATGATGAATTTTCAGGGAGAACTGCTTTACGCAACGGGAACCGGCTGTGATTCTAGATCTGAGGCTGGCTTGCGTTTCAGTCGCGATAATCCCTTTAAAAGCCACGTATTGTGCGTCTAGCTCTCCTAGAGACGCATATTAGGAGACAGTTCCCACAGTTTAATGTGACTTTACGTTGCATTTCAGTGCGGAGGCGTTCAGTGCCAACCGGGCAGCTCTTCTGTGGAGCAAAAGGTTGAAGTCATCACATCCGTGGGATTTGTGGACGTATCTGACAAACCTCAAGCTCAGATAAAACCCCGACCAACATTTGAGGCCAAAGCATCGTCTGATTTCTTCTTTCCTTTTCTTTAGCATCATTTTTCGTGGCCACAACATCGTACTTTTATTCGATTCGTTAATACGACAATTTCAAAGTTCTGTTTAACACGTGAACGTGCCTTATTTGGACATGGCTTGCAAGGATACTGATTCATGTACATCACTAGCCTAGAGGCCCACCTCACAGCTCAGATCACGCTTGGCTGGGCGCATTTCCTGTTTCCCTGATACTCTTCGGCGCAGTCCCCTTCAAGTTGATCCCTAGCGATGGATTATTTGTAGAATCCGTCCTCAGGAGATCTGGAAACGAGAGGTGTTTAGTGGATGCAGGCTCCGTCACAGGTCCCTGTCTACCGAACAGGGACGAGCAGAGGAACCTTGTGGCCCTTTAACTTCCCAAGGCAAGATCAGCTGAGTGCTACGTAAGTGTCACGTGAATTGGATAGGCGTCGATCCTTTTAAACGAAGTGCAGGACAACACGGCCTCAAAGTGTGGCTTAAAGATCGTTGCTTTTCGTGAACTCCAAAGAACATCGCAAAACCATTGAAGTGGAAAATTAGAAGAAGTTAATAAGTGTGTGATTTTTCAAAGTAAGACAAGTGTGTTGTAGATAACCATAAAACCTCTGAACTTACCCCCTTTTCATGTAGGTAGTGGGATGTACTGAATTGGACTTGTTTCTCAACGGAGGTTTTTGCTTGTTAATGACTATTGTAAGTATTATTGTAAATGTTTGTGTAACAAGAACTGTACATAGGTGAGACGTACTTGTAAATAAAGGTGTTCAAAGAAAGCTTTCAAAAAAGCCAACAGTTTTTATCTAATTTTGCTTAGTGGGTTAGTTGGATATAACCTTCCAGTACTGCCTCGGTTTCGACTGTCTAAAAAAGGATTCGTACAAAGTATGTACTCGTCCACGCTGGTAGCAGAGCGTTTTTTTTTTTCGCTTGTTCGATTTTGGCGTACTCTAGAAAGACTCTGCATTAAGCGAGTAATACCCTTGTACGCGTGCCCTGTATGTAGTTAGGATATAGTTTCGAACCCAGACAATTCTCATCCCCACAGCCACTCGGCTTAAATGGTAAGACCACGCCACCAAGAAATTAAAAGAGGCGTTCCTTACTGATTCAGACGCCGAACTTTTCATGTACTTAATTCAATGTAATAGGTTCGGCTCATTAAAAGTTCGACGTCTGAACTCGGCCTAACCTAGTATCTACTGGTTTCGAGTCCAGATGCTCTCACCACTAAGCTACAGGTTAGCAGAGGTTAATGTGACAAACATCCTGCATACTGCTAGGACTAGAATGTTAATAGGTGCTTATGTGCAATGCTAGAAATGTGATGGTGAATATATAAGAAAGATGTGATTGCTAAAACGGTCGCATGTCAAAATTGAGAATGTCTACAGTTTGGTTAATATAGCTCACTGTTTATAATAAGTAAAAACATGATTTGACTGAATAGACTGAATATACCAATTTTCCGAATCTATATCTGACTCCGAGGCTTGGGGGATTAAAACAAAAGAAATCACATTTTAGTTCAGGGATGAAAAATGCATTTCTTTTTGGTCAGCGGATAACTTTAAAAAATGACATAACCTCGATGAATTGTGCACTTGAGCACGCGTTACAGTCAGGTGACACTGGTCAGCGGATGCCCTTTTTGGCATTTGTCAAGCGACCATGACATGGATATCCACTATCAAGTTAAACATATTGTCTATGCCTAGCATGCCTAGTAATGCCCGGTCATTACAAGAAAACAGCTAGTCAGAGTGCGCGTACTATTGTAGCCATAGAACAATCGGCCATAGTATTTCTGACATGATTTAATAACTTTAGCAGTTTTAAGCTGCTAAACTAATTAAATTATGTTAGTAATATTATACTGGTCCTCTTGCTGCCTTATGAGAAGACAATAGGTGTTGTAATCACAGAAAGTATCTCGTTAATTAACAGTTCAAGCTGTTTGTTAATTCAAGTGTAGTTTTTTTCTTTCAAAAAAAGGCTACGCTGAACTTATTTTCTTTCGCCTGACCAAAGTAATAATAATATTTCTGACATGATTCAATAACTTTAACAGTTTTAAGCTGATAAAATTATTAAGTTATGTTAGTAATATTATACTGGTCCTCTTGATACCTATCCTGAACTTATTTTCTTTCGCCTGACCAAAGTTTCACTACCAAGCTTTGTTTGTAAGCAAAATTCTTTTCATTCCTTTGCGATTCCCAGATATTACTCCAACGGACTAAATTTCACTTTGAGAGTACTAATGTGAGTAATTTACATGTTCATCGTCATCATTATTAGAATGCAGTCAGCAATGATGATGACCGCGTTTTTTGAGGCTCAGTAGTTTTGTGTCAATCTTGTTAATGGGCCATAATTTGTTTTACTATACTGTACTCTTCTCCATTCTTAATTTCTTTGCTAACCTAATGTACATGTAGTTTTTTGTCTAAACACCTTGTATTAATATTGTACAACTGATGTATTATTTTTCAAACAAAGTGCAGGACAACATGGCCTCAAAGTTTGGCTTAAAGTTCGTTGCTTTTGATGAACTCGAAAGATCATTGCAAAACCATTAAACTGGAAGATTAGAAGTAGTTAATAGTTGTATTGTAACAACAGAAAAAGTGACTCTGGCTTCGAAGTGTGATTTTTTGTAGTAAGACAAAAGTGTTGTAGAGAACCATCAAGCCTCTTTGAACTTGACCCGTTTTTATCTAGGTATTTGCATCTACTGAATTGGACTTGTTTCTCAACGGAGGTTTTTGCTCCATTTTGGCGTACTCGAGAAAGACTCTGCACGAAACGAATAATACCATTGTTGTGCATGCCCAGTATGTTGCTAGGATATAGTTTCGAACCCAGACCATTCTCGTCCCCAGAGCCACTCGTCTTAAATTGTAAGATCACGTGACCAAGAAACGACCGGCCCTGGGGACGAGAATGGACCCAGACCTAATAGCCGTGCGCTTCCTACAGCGGGCTCAGTTGTGACAAACGGATCATCAATGAACGGATGCTGGCACTCGAAAAAAAAAGACAGTTTGAAGAGACAAAGCAAGACTGACCAGTGTAGAAGTTCGGATTCAACCACCACAGAGTCTCCTTTTTTCCTTCTCACTGTACAGCTCAAAAGAGGCTCTGCTCGCAGAATGGTACTCATTTTTTGATCGAATGCTCTAAAGGAACCAACTAAGTATTGGATTATCGGATGAATATTAAGTTTGCTAGACTCGCCGAGACAAAACTTACTGTGATTTAATATTCTTTGTGTTATTACCCGTGCTTTCCTGCTCTTTAATTTTGAATTTCTAAATTAGACATCGGACGTAAGAGATGTGAAATGCACTTTATTTGAGAAATTTTTTTCTGCACTGAAAGTTAGACGGATATCTCGCAGTACATGTTGGTGTCTTGAGATTTACGAAATTCATTGAAAGTAGATTGACATTTTTTTGGCAACTCTGAGACAATACCGAAAGCCGAACCTAATAAAAAGCGTACTTAGAAAAGATGTGTATTGTCTCTGGAAGTGAACTCTTGTGACAGCGTGCTAAGGTCTCCATCTATTGATGTCTGTTGAAGTGGATTATTTAAGTCTGTTTTGAATCCATCCCTCAGTTTTGTCTGCTAAGAGATCATACAAAAGAATTAATACTATCGGCCTCGAACGTCAGTAGTAATAATTGTACCAGATGGTCCTATATTATATTTTTGAGATCTTACCTTCCGAATCTGCTCAAAACTCGGACATTCCGCAATGGCATTCAGCTGATTCTGTTCCTTTTCCATCACTGAAATTTTGACAATCTGTTGCATCTTTTCCTCGAGATCTAATCTTCTCCTGACTTCTTCCTCCAGGGAAATCCTCAGGTCTCTGACCTTCTCGCTGAGCCTACTTCGCTCTTCCGCAAGAGATTCTAAACTAATCGTCATCTTACGCTCTTTTTCGTTGAGTTCCTGTTGTAGTTTTTCTTTTGCATTTTCCAGCAGAAACACTTTGGTGACTAGATTGTTCCCTTCCCGCTGGTGCCGTTTCAGATCTTTGGCCGTGGCCTCGAACTCGGTGCGCATATCCAAGAGGTTCCTCTCGGCCTCGGACCTTTCTTTGCTCAATTCATTTTGCAGTTCCCCGTTCACCTTCTGAAGACATGAAAGCTTAGTTTCAAGTATAACACGCCTTTCCTCAAGACAAGCTAGAGCGTCTTGCCGTTCTTCCAGGTTTCTATGCATTGTCCGTATTTTTTCCTCTGATTTTTCAAGGGAATTTTCAAGTTCAGCTTTACGATGTCGAAGGTCAGTGCATAAAGAACTTTCCTCGGCCAACTGCCTATGCAGCCAGGTATTTTCTTCTTTCAAGGCCCTCTTTTCTTTTTCGAAGCTTTCTTGAAGCCGTAGGCATTTTCTTTTCCATCCTTCCATTGCCCTTTTTGTTTCAGCCTTCTCCGTAATCGGTAACAAACCGTCCGCACCAAAACGCTCTTTGAAGGACTCTAACTCTTCATGAAGCTGATTATTTTCGTTAATCAATGCTTCCTCCATCTCCTTACTTCTTTCTAAAGCCCCCTCGTTGTTCTTAATTGTTATCTTCATCTCAGCGTAACGTTCATACAACCTCTCCACCTCGTCGTTTGCTTTAACCTTGTCTTGGATGGAAGCCTCTCTAAGTACGTTGTGCCTTTCTTGGCTAACTTTAAGCTGACCAATAAGGAAGGTTATTCTCTCCTCCGCCTTTTGCAGTTCCTCAAGCAAACCGGCGTCAACCAGATTTCTCAGATACTCGTTATCTTGTCGAATAACACAAAGCTCCTCCATTAATTTAGCGGTCCTTTGTTTCAGGCGATTAATCTCTTCGGAATTGGAATTTTCAATTTCTACTAGGATTTCTTTTAATGTAGTACGAACCTCTTCCTTTCCCATGTGAGGTAAAATGAGATCGGAGTTCAAGTTAGTGATCAGTAGGGGTGATTCCGACTGTGCCACACACTTTTCTTTAGATTCAAGGACATTTTGCAACGAAAGTCTTAGCTGCCTTATTTCTCCAAGCGCTGCGTCTTTGAGAGACACTTCATCTTCGAGTTTTTCCTTTAGTGCTGCTGCTTGTCTCTGCAATTCGGTATTTTCCTTCTCATATTGTCCAGAAAATAACTCGCACTTCCTCAACTGCTTGTCCTTCGCCTTTGAAATCTCTAGCAGGCTGTGAATGTCTTTGTTTATGAGCCTATGAGCGCGCTTTGTCCTTCCATAAATGACTTCCAAGATCTTCTTTATTTCCAATGTTTCTCGAACGTTCCTGTTAGCTTCTTCTCGCATGTTTTCGTTTAAATTTTCATAGTTCTGAAGTTGCGCCTTTGCCCTTTGAAGCTCATCAGATAGTGATTCTACGTCCTGTTCGAGCACTTCTTTATCGCGTTGAACAGTCATCAAAATATTTCGCAATCGCTGTTCTCGCTCTGTTATTTCTGTTTTCTCAAGGATGTCGCACCTGGGGCTCTTTTCAAAATTTGAAGAAGAGGAACTCAAGTGTTTACTAATAGCCTTGGGAATAAGCTTCCTCTTTCCGAAACCTTTAAGCTTTCCACTTTTCTTCTGGCTTTGCAAACAGGACTCACTCGTAGATACAAATGTATCACTTGTATCTGCTTCTCTTATGCCAGGCAGTTGCGATGAAGTGGACTGCTCGTCAAAGCTTTGGTTGTATTTGTATTCCGTTTGTTTCGGTTGCCACTTATCGTTTGATTTCACTAACAAAACTTCAAGCTCCTTTTTAGCCTTAACCTCATCCAGTAGATTGTCCTTCATTGCTTGAAGCGACGCTTCAAGACGTAGGTTGGACTTCCTTAACGCATTTGAAGTCATTTTGCTTTGGTTAAGTTCTTTCCTAAGTCTCTTGTTCTCCTCGCAGAATTCATCCACTCTTAATACGTTTTCTTGCAAATCCCTGACGGCCTTTTCCAACGTGGAACGAAGAACAGTCCCGACCTCTTCCAGGCGCTCTAGTAATAACCTTTGCTGTTCATCTCGATTTTCTGCTGCTGGTTGGTCCTTGCCTTCTTCAGGAACAGTTTCATGTTTAGCTTTCAGTTCAAAAAGCTCCCCTAACGCTTGTTGCAATGAGCACTGTAAATACTGTTCCGTTTCCTTGGAATTTTTGAGGTTCTTTTTGTCCACTTGTCTCTCTTGCTCATGTGCCTGAATTGCCATTTCCAGGCATTTTACTTTCTCAAACAAAGCGGTACTAGTTGCTTCACGAGAGAACGCTTCGTGCTTCTCTATTTGAACCTCTTCGTAAAGCTCTCTAGCGACGAGATATAGTTTCTCTTCCCTCTTTTTCCCCTGCTCTATCGACTCCTTAAGAGACTTCTCTCTTTCCAGAACAGCGTTACTTTCCAATTCTGATGTCTGTAAGGCCTCTTTAAGTAGATTACAGTATTCCTGTAGATCGTTTTTGCCACGACTCACCTTTTCTAATGCTTCACGCAAGTCTCGAATCTCTTCTTGGAAGCCCAATTCTTCACTTTCGTGTTTTCGTTTGTGTGCATCAAGATCGTTTTCTTTACTTCGCAACAGTTTTTCCAGGATCTCGTCCGAGCATTTATTGCCCATTCCAGCGTCGTAGTCTTCAATGTTTATTTGCTTTTCTCTTTTTTCGTTCTCTTGAAGTTGCTCTTTAAGTATCTCAATTTCAATATCCTTGTCTTCAATAATTTTGTTCATCGAAAGCCTGAGTTCCTCCCATCTTGCACATTTTATTTCAAGTTCTTTTGAAATTTCCCCTGCTTCTTGTCTTAATTTTGCCACAAGACCTTTCAATTCGCTCAGTTTATCTTCATATGAAACGATTAGTCGCTTCAGATCTTGATTTTCTTCCAAAGTAGCCTTATACCTGGAAAGAAGGCTTTCAATCCCCTCAAGAGATCCTTCTGTTACCTCTGTTTCTGGGTCCCCGTTTGTCCAAGGCCCATGGATTTCCTCGTCTTTCTCTTCATGAAGAGAGAAATTGACCCAAATCCGTTGGATCCTACCTTCAGTTACGCAAAGAGCTTCTTGGACTTCTTCCAAATGCCTCAACTGGCGAGCATTCTGTTCGTTTAAATCCACTACCTTTGATTTTTCTTTACAGTATGCCCGGTAAATATCCCTTAGAAGACTTTTTGAGTCTTTTCGTACGAACGTTGTTTTATCATGGAATTTAAAGTCAGCATCAGTGATTTTGTGCCAAAGGTCCTCAATGCTCAATGTTACGGTTTTAATCTCTCCTTGAAGGCAATTGTTCTGTTCTCTCAAAGTCATGGCCTTGAATTCTTCAGAAAGATCGTCTTGCTCACCATCTGCTCTGTCGCTATATTTTTCAGAACTGCTTGAATAGTAACTTGCATTTTCTGAAATTGGACTAGACAACATATCAGCGGAGCAACGCCTTGTGTTGTTTTGATCAAGAGCTGGCGTTCCATCAGCTATTTGATCCATCAATCCAAGAGTCATCGTCCTCAAAGATTCATTGGTACACTCGAGTGGCAATTTATGCTCTGCATTTGCAGCATGTTCTTTCGCTACTGACAGTTTATGTTCCAGCTGAAAAACCTGTTCTTGTAACATTTCATTTTGATTTGTCAAAAGCTGAACCTGAATCTCAAGCTGCTGTGAATGCGCTTTCTCCTGCTTCAAGCTGTCAAGCAAGCGTTTCTCGTTCTCTACGGAAGACTCTCGTTGATTGTGGAGCTCCGTTTCTTTGGCCCATAGTTTTTGGAGAGCATTTTGAATGTCTGATTCGAGTTCCTCTTTCTCAGCTGTGATCTCCTCTACTTCTTTTATCTTCTCCTCTACCATCTTCTGTAGCCTGGTGATATTATATTCACATGTATTTATTTTGGACTGCAGATTAGCTTCCTTGGTTCTTTCTGCCAGGTAATTGTCCGGCGTTTCACTAAAATCTCTGTTAAGTGTTTCCTGTCAAGGAAAACCACATAATTATGCTTTTTCATAGCATTAATATTACTGATGTAAAGTATATATAAAATAATTCATTTTTCATTTTTGAACTGCGGTTGTAGATGAAAGTGAAGAATGATCATCGCAGTAAATTTTCCAAATTTTCGATCATCGCACTGAATTTTCTATAAACTTATTATATTCAACTCAGGCCTTGTAGACACCCGTTATAACGGACACCTCAATAATAAGGACAACAGCTAAATCCTAGGCAAAAATAAATTATAGATGTTTACGGAAATCTTATTGAATGATATCAGTTTTACAAAACGAACGAAACGAATCATGGTCATGGGAAAAGGTCTCTTGTCTTTATACTAACAGGGTAGCGAAACGGACGGGTTTTTTTCGTAAACAGGATCAGGACAAAATTTCTTTTGTTCTTGATTTCCAAGTCAATTTTTTGCTACATCAAATGTTAACAGACAGTGCAGCATTAATGTATTAGTAGTTGCTCGAGATAACTTCGGATGAACTGAGACAGTTGTAACGGTCGTTGTCCGAGTGACTAATAATCTTATTTTCTTTCAGAGACGTTGCGACTACCGAAACAGGAAGACCGCGAATTCAAGGACACGCGTGACAGTTGATTTTGTCGCTAGGTGTTAACGACTTAGGTCACGTGGCTTTGTTTGTCAAACCGAACTAGGTGAACTCACGTGGTCGATCACTTTGTTTCTTATTGCTGGCTTCGTTGTTCGCCCCAGAGTTTATATATAGCGCTAGAAGGCTGAAACCGAAAGAACTTTCATCGATTGACTTTCCACGAACGAAAATTTATCCTTTTTGGTTGACATAGAACACCATTACTCGACTTGGCCTATCTAATCTTTGACCAACCAAACGCTCAGGAACGTGATCACCTCTTTGGTTTGACAAACAAAGCCATGTGACTCGAATCGTTCACGTCTGGCGCCAAAATCGTCTCTCTGAATTCGCGATCTACGTGTTTCGGTAGAAAGTGGCAGGAGCCGATTACTGTACGTGGACATAAGGACGCAGTATTGAAAAACTAAAATTTTACGCCCTTGTTTGTAGGTGAAAAAAGGATAAATAGGGAACAGTATATTGACCCACCTCGCACAGTAGAAAAAGAGTACCACCTTCAGAAGAGCCCCAAAATCGGCCTTCATTACATGCACTGTCGCTCTTGGGGTTTTAGATTATTTACACTTCACTTTTTCGTAGAAGATTTCGATCTTTCCAATACATTAGCCTTATTTCAGGGACACCCAACGAGAATATAATTCAAAACCACTTAAACATAGCATTGTTAAACGTATTTTAGTATTTTTAAAACAGTAGATATTGGCATATTTTTATCCCCTAAAAATTTTTCATCTGTTCGAATTTCCTAGCTGGAAGTCTAGTGATTCGAAAATTATACGGATCAAAACTTGCCTTTTCGAAAATTTCAGCCAGAAAAAAGGCTCCCGAAAATTGTAGGTGACCTTTTTAGGGCAAAAATCCGTTAAAAATGGGCAATTATACCATTTTTTAGATGTTCGAAAATCCTAGGAGAGGCAGACTAGCCAGAAATTTTGCAAAAAATGTTCAGAAACTTCTAGATCTCAAATCGTCTTCCGAACAGATATTTTCCGAAAATTGTCGTTGAGTGCCCCTGTTATCTGAAGCCTTTGAGTTAACAGTACGCACCTGGAGGTGGGAGTCACTGTTGGCAATCTCCGTTGGTGGAGTATGCTCCTGTTCTTCTTGATCATCCAACTCATTTTTCTCTCCGTGTTCATTCTTTTCATTAGGAGAGTTATAAGGTTTAATGAAACAATCATAAGTGTTCAAATCATCTGCTATGGCTTTCACAAGCTCCAGCACTTCTTCATCATCCTCGTCAAATAACTCTTGCGCACTTTCGTCCTCCACCGATGAAGTATCGTCCATTCTCACATTAAACTACATTGTAAAGATAACAATTTGAGTGAATTCTCTGAAGGAAGAATTACTGAAAACTACAAAATTGTATTTTTTGTCAAATTTACCTCCTTCCTGAATTTTCTAGGGCGGCTCTGTATTTCTATAATATATATTCAAGAATATTATTCTAAAATACAGAAGACAGACCAGTTTGATAATCTAACTGCTTTAACTGCCACTTCAAAAGGAGAAATGGAAAAGCTGAATGAATTAAATTTTCTTTCCCAGATACCTATTACATTCAATTAATTATTGTATGTGTGTATTTTTGAAATTTATTTGTATATATTTCTTTTAGTATTAGAGGGCCATGTGTTAGAAAACTCTTAACTGGGTTAATCATGTATATCTACCCTCTCAAAATAAAGAACATTGTATTGTATTGTATTGTATTGTAAAAGCGGCCACAAAACTAGCCCGGCTGCAAAACCGCGTTTTTGAGGCGGTTGAAGGCAATAACTTCAATCTTACAGTCGGGAATAAATATTTCTTTTGGCAATAACGCCTACTCTGCAGGCTACCGGAAACACGAATAAACATAGTGGTACCGGTAAGAAGTACAAACTTTTTTCGTTAATTTTAAGCTAAGGCTCGTTTCACACACTTTATGAAAACCTTGTTTTTTTCAGGAGTGAGAGTAGTGTGACATTTGGCCTTCTCTTCTACTGAAACACCGGAGTGAAACAGTAATCTTGAGAAAAAAAATATGTCACTCGAACTCGTAGCCTCACTGTTGAATAAAATATGGCTAAGTAAAAATATTTCAGGACAAAATTTAAACGCTTACCTGAGTTTGCTTGCACGTGAGGCGTTCGAAATCAAGTTATAATTTTTCGTCTTTCACTTGTGACGTATTTTCTCCGTTTGGCGTCCCAGTCTCCCATCAGGAACTTTTGAACGAGCCAGTCTTTCGGCGCCAAACTCAAAATGGCGACCTCGAGTAAACAACTCTTCGCCAGTAATATATGTAGAAATCACTTAAATATGTCGAAACTGAAAGTATGGAAAAAGAAAAAAAAATTATTAATACGCATGACTGGATTAAAGCTGAAGCAAGTCCAAGGATGCAGGAAAAAACTATTTTGTGGAGGAATATCGTTGGCGAATACGCGAGACGTGGCACAAGCCGAAGATTATCAGCTGAAAATATGCAAATTTCAATTTACCTTTGAATTTACGTTCTTGTGTTCACTCAACTATAGCCAAGCAACAGGACAGTTCCGGGAAAACCTGGCGCTCGTACAGTACCCGATGCTGCCTCTAAAGGAAGAAAATGGCGTATGAGCGAGGGACTGCCTCGTTGTTTTCTCTGGGCGTTTTACTGATCCAAATCTTCGCTAGCGACAGCCAAAGTGTTGTACGTTCAAAAGGTGTAAAACTTGGACATCAAAACGGTACATCTAGAGGTAAGATTAAGTCTCATATCGACGGTTTGCAAACCTTTTAGATTTGCTTGAAAAGTAAGCTCAAATACAAGAAAATCACGGGAATTATTATTGTTTCTTGTAAACACTTGAAATTGAATCATGATCAGATCGCTCGATATGAACTCCTCAAAGTTTGTTCGATCAGATTGAATCAAGCAGTGTTTACAACGTAAACGATTAAGCTGATTTCGTTCCCCATGGCTTGGCTTAACTTTTTTTCAAGTTGTTTCACGTTGTTCTAAGCAACATGGTTTATTTTTATCTAAATTTAATAGCTATCGTCTATGATTTTAAAAATTAATCTCACTATTCACACTTAATAATAGTGAAGGTGTTTTGATCTTAACCACTGTTTATTGTTCCCATTGTTTATAGCAGGAATTCCAAAAATAAAAGGAACATTTTCATAATTAACAGTGTGCTAATGGTTTTCTTTACACAAGGCTGTTTAACCAAAAATGTGTGTGTGAAGGCCTAAGTAAAATCTCAAGTAACCTTACTTTGCATCTCATTAAAGTCGGAATATTGAAACGATTCAAGAAAGTTTCAAGTGAGTTGAAAACCATCCTTAAAACCAACTTAGCGAACTTGTGGTTTCTAAACTTTGAGAAAGGCGAAGCATGTCAATCAATCATAAGTATGCGTGGGAAAATAGCCTCAAGTAACCCTGTAGTAAAAATGATAGGTTGTGTGTGAAGCCATTTTTTACTTGAAGAATTTAAAATTTACTTGTCTTGAATTATTTCTTAGCTTATTTAGGCTCTAGTGTAAAGACTACCAATATTTTGTTTTTTGACATGTCATTAAGAGAGCAATTAAAAATTGCACACTCTCTATATCCAGTCCGTTTACTGTGCTGTAAGCTATCCCTGCTTTAGTTACAAAAATATTCAAATAAAACAATCGTTGATTTTTTGGGGCAAACGGGAAATTATGTCCAAAAGTTTGTGCTTCTGAGCAAATTTAGGCCACACAGTCTGACTGTTTCACTGTCGGACAATTTTCAGCATGTGGATGTTCGGTTGCCACAAGGGGTGAATTAATGATAAATTTACAAACAAGCAAACTTTTAGGTTTTTTTCAGAAAAATAAAAATAAAAAACTGTTAAAATCAGTGACTGTGTACGGGAAGTAGTTTTTTTTGTATTGTGAAGTTACTTTGTAGGACTTGATCACCAGTACCAGTTCAGTTCTTTTAAAATAATATTAAGTGTTTCTAGTTTGATTTAGTCTGATTCTCTTGTCATATAAAATTATGCACCATCAATTCCAGCTATGCCCATCCCCCCAGGCTCTACTGTGGGGCATTTTCCAGCCTTGTGGGTCCCAGACATGGGGCATCCACCAATTTTGCATGGCTCAGGGGTTGGATATTTGCCAACAACCCCCCCCCAACTGAGCTTTTGACACACACATGTTTTCTTATCAAAAAATAACTTAACATGGAGGGTTTTAATGGAAACACAATTAGGTTGGCAGATTGGCTCATCCGTTAAAGATGGGAAAAAACTTGTTTTTAAAGGCATGTTCTCTTAGTTTTATGCTTGCATTTCTTCATTGCTTATCAAGCCAGAACTTACAAAGCGAATCTGGGAGCTATCCAAGTGAATCAACGCATGTTTTTCATTTCAGTGAATGAAATTTCTAATGATCTAGGATTTGAATAAAATTTGGTGGTTATGATTACATGCAACTATGATCTATCAAATATTTGGAGAGCTTCCTTTCATATTATTGGCCTATTTAGAACAGATAACTTTATGGCACACTGTTAATTTTATTGTCAATTAATTTTTAGTAATGGACTATAATTTATTAAAACCAGATGAATAACAACAAGATAAGAATCATGAAATGGACTCATCGTGCGTGAACTCTTAATTAGAGTAGCGCGATTATAAGGGCACACCTTAACTGAAACGAATAATCGCACTTAAAAATGCTTATGTGGCACTACTTGAATGTCATTGCATTTGGCAGCTCAAGTGTCCGCACACCATCATTGTATCCTTGATGTTTTTTCAGGAGTGTACTTGATCACGTCAAGTGATGTTACAGTAAGAGTGGGTGAACAACTCCAGCTTAACTGTACTGTAGTTGGAGCTGATAATTCTTCTAAGTATCAATTATCATGGTATCATGGTAAACAGAAACTAGGAGAAAATGTGATAGCAAAGCTGAGAAACAACACAGTTCAAGTTAATATTGATGCTGTTCACTGGAACAACAATGGAACTTATGTTTGTAAAGAAACTGCTAACAGTGGTCTTCTGCCCAGAAGTGTTGTGGTCAGGGTTGGCGGTAGGTCTTCTTCATATTGTGCATTGACATATTTTTCTGTTTATCTGAAGATGTGTATTGAGGTCTCTGCCTCTGTCCTTGTGGTATGCATTCATGCAAAAGAATTGCTGCTCCCCAATTTTCTTGAACCCAGAGGTTTAGTTCACCTTTAAACGACCCATTTTTCAGCATTCTTGTTTTATTTTTTAGCTTATAATTTTTAATGAAACTCAGAAAAGCATGACCAACAGAAAAATAATTTAGAATTTAAAATAATATAGTTTTGTTGCAAGGAAAAAGCCAATCACGCACAAGTAAACAAAACCAGGAACAACAAGGCTAGTTAATTTGTGGTTTTGATGTTTGTTCATGCATCCTGAACTTTGTGATTAAGTCACTGCATGATTATATGGCATTCACAGTTTTCTAAGTTTGACAGAAACAGTGATTTTGTTACCCCTGCATTCCTAAGCCCAAAGCATGGTGCAAAGAGAATCAGCCCTTTGGGCAAGCTGTAGCCAGAATGACCTAGCCCAAGTGTCATTTTGACTAGCCAAGAAACATTTTTGACACGCAGGGTGAACAATAATCACTATTCATTAATTAATTACATCATTTATATAGAGAGAAAAATTCAGAAAAAAATTCTGAGTTCTAGATGGGAATTGAACCCTTCCAGACACTTTAGTCAGATGCTCTACAATTACATCATTAGTTAATTTATTTAATCACTTGCTTTATTAATTCCTGGTAGTAAGCTATGATTTTAAATAGAATTTGGAGCCTTAGGATCCTTTCTTCTCAGGTATTTTTAATAATAAATAATTGTTCTTACCTGAAGATTGTGCATGTCACACAACATCTATTCTGACATGAAATGTACTGTTACAATAAGCCATTTCGAGTTCCCTTGCACCTCTTTATCAAAACAAGGTTGAGAGCTCAGCCTTTGATATGGAAATCATTTTTTGTTCTCGTGCAAATAAAACTCATTTTCAAAAGACCTCATTTTGAAAGTGAGGGTTTTTGGAACTTGCAAGCTATCTAGTGGCCTATTAATGTTTTGATACTCGTTTTTACAGATTTCATTTTCTCAGATTAGCTTGAAAAAAGTTTTTACATTTATTAGGAATTTTATTTAATACTCAAGCAATTTAAATTCCCCAATAAAACTTCACGTGCCTGTTGGGCAAGTAAAGATAAAATACAAAATTCACTAGCCCAATGGCAAAATACCAGGGATGTCACTTCAAGTTGAGAGGTAAATACAACAAGTAGGTTGGGAATGAAACAACTAGGGGTTTCTTTTGGTTCTATTTTTCTTTTATTTTCCCATGAAAGTAGCGGGGGATCCACATTCATAGCAGCCGGGGGAAATCCCCGGCCCCGCCTCTTAATGACAGCCCTGAAAATCCACTACACCAGGCTTAGATTGGGCAGAACGTCATTGACTGGCCCGAAGATGATATCCTGTTTGCCCGACTCTAAATCAGCGAATATAAAATTTAATATTGTAACAAAATCACTGAAAATGAGCATTATTAATAATGTTTACCAATTAATAATACCAGATTTATTTCCTTTTGAGAAAAATAATTTTAACGCACGATTGCTGCTCTAGTATTTGCAAATTGTGAGGTATTTTTGAAAAGCAATTTTACTTAAACTTGACATGGTACATGTATGTCTGAATTAAACTTGCTGTTGGTTTCTTTTAGATATTCCCAGTTCACCTCAAAATGTGTGGATAAATAATGTTGAATTCGAACCAAGAATTCACTGGACGGCTCCAAAACACCCAGGAGGATTGCCACTTAGTTATGTTGTCAAAGAACCATCGCTGTGCAAGAATGTTACCAGATCAGATAACCATCACTGCAGTCTTTGTTACAATCATCTTATTTTTGGAACGGATGTAAATACATTTATGTGCACACTGGATGCAATTTCTCTTCTAGAGGGTATTGTCTATGAAGCCATTGTTGAAGTTAAAAATGCCCTCGGTTTCAACACAAGCAGTCCTGTTGTATTCAAAGCCAACAAGTATGAAATATTTTTAAGTGAGTACACTTACAACCTGTTACTTAATATTATCAGTAGTATTATTTATATGCGCGTGCCACGCTATTTTGTAGCTTTACTGGGAAGAGACTTGCCTGCACTGGGGATAGCCATGAACTGGACTCCCTGAACTGTAACTCCCTTGCAGGCTGGTCCCCCACTCCCACTCATGTTATTATGCATTCAAAATATTTCTTCGTTTCTGATTGGCGCAAATCATGGCCAGCTTGTGTTGACATTAAGTGATATCCAGGGTAATATCATGACACCAATGGTCGTGCAGGCTATCGCCAGTAAATAGCACGGCAACCTAGTGAAGAGGTGGTGTTGAGCGGCTCAGTTGTTTTGGTAGAGCTGGAGAAAAAGGCAGAGAATTTCCCACATTCTGTCAAGACGAAATAGCTGAACTACTACCCAAGAATGTAGCAAGAACAGCAACAATTAATACAACTCGACAGATGACAACCAGGGCCAGCTGTTACGATAATTTTGAGTTGCTGGGTAAATAAAACAAGCGGTGGGGAATCAGACAGCTCAGCTAGGGATTTCTTTTGGTTTTATTCTTCTTCAATTTTCCTTTGAAAGTAGCCAGACACCACGTTCATAGTTGCCGAGGGAAATCCCTGGCCCTTGCCTCTTATAACAGCCCTGGATAACTGCTACATGTATTTGAAGAAAATCTGCTGTACTAAACATCTCCTTTTATCCTGAATTTGCTGAGATTCAGGCAAATGAAGATATGAACTAATAACGTCAATCATGTAAGCCTTTTGTTAAAGAAGGTACATCATCATTTTGAATGACTAATAAAAGATTATTCTATGCAGATTTTGTATGATACCATAAAATTCCGAAAGTATTTTTCAAAGGTCCATTTTGGGGGGCTTATTTTTGGAGGGGCTTATCTACGGAAGATAGTTTGCGTTTCGAAATCGATTGGGCTAGCCTTATAGTTGGAAGTAAATTTAGCGTTTTTGCTTTGTTTTACTTTGTATTTGGGGGCAATTTTCCAAGTGCAAGCCCCCTGGGGGCTTATATTTGGAGGGGCGATTTAACGGAGATGTTCTTGCGTTACCGGTTTGGGGGGCTTATATTTGGAGGGGCTTATTTTCGGAATTTTACGGTATATGAAGAACTATGTACAATCTTGAAGAGAGTTATCCTCCTCGATCTGCATAATTCTTCAGATCATACTCAGTCTCATTCAATAATTGCTAAATATCTTTTCTCATTCGTCTCAGCTACTCCACAACCTGCTAAAGCCTTTACTGCTAAGGAAGTACAGCCAGCTACAACAGTGAAACTGTCATGGGAGGATCCCAGACAGTTAGATTTCTTTGTGGTTCAATATACCATTCTGTACCATGAGGATGGAGATAAGCAGAACAAGGTCAGTGTTCTTCAGAAGCTCCGGCAGCAGGCCAAAATTGGGGTATAGTTGCTATGGAAGGACTAGCTATAACTTCCAAAAGGGTTTTTTAAGAGGGTAATCTAATAATGATATTTGTTTCTCTGAACACTTTTTTTCAATGTAAAGGAACGTAAAAAAGGGAATGTAGGTAGGTGAAGGTACCATCTACATGGCTAAAATTATTTCTGATCGCTCAAAACACACTTGGGGCCCCTGAAATAAACTTGAAAATCTCCCCTGGTGTAGGGGACAACCCTCCAGCAAAACCTTACCAAATATGAATCTAAGGCACGTGAAAGGCTTTCCACTCTTTTTGATCCAATCTATTGCCACCAACTGTAGTTTTTCTCCCTCTACTCTACATTTTCTGGAGAACCCTGCAAGGTTAAGCTTTGCTTATATGTTCAATAGCATATCTCTGTTCCTTCAAAGTGAAGTTAAAAAAACTCTTGCCCTGAAAAATTAAATGGAACTGTGCAGATTATACTTGGTGTGGTCTAAGACTTAAAGGTTTCGTAGAACAATATTCTTTATGGTCAAGTGAACGGAAACTTCATCAGTGTAGATCTGCACAATCGCATGATTTACTACTTTTTTCCTCTTCCTTTGCATCTGTAGCCCACTCAAAAGCCTGGCTAGCCTTGCCAAGCTTGGCCAGGCTGGCGTTAAAGCTGGCTTTTGGCCTGACTTACTAGGAAAAAGTAGCAAGCCTGGCCAAAGTAGCAACCTAATGGCCACTTAAGGCTGGCTTTCCTGGCCATGTTAGTTTAAATGGCAGGGCCAAGGCCATAATGGGCCACAACCTGGCTTACTTAGTTCTTTTAGTAGTGATACTACGTATACTAATATACAATAGAAAATTATAGTAGTGTGGTTCATCGGAAATAAATCCCTTATCAAAGGCATTCGAGAGAGAATCCAGGGGGCTAGGACACTTGGCAGCTATATGGATGGTCACACTATTTATTTATTGCTTAAAGACAACTGAGAGCATCTTTGCCCAGAAATTAAGGTTCTGGAAGATAGATTTTATTGAATGTTCACTTTTTAGAGAAAAGGGGGCTGCACAACTCCATGACAGCCTCCTCTAAGTTCATCCATAGCATTTGGAAGTGCTGGGTTTTGAGTGGAGAGGAGGGAAAAACTGCATGGAGAACGAGGAAAAAAATCCACTCACAGCAAGAACAAGGAACCACTAATGAACTCCACCTGTATACATGTATGTCCTGTTGTCTCTGCCTGTGAACCTAGCCCACATTTGTGGAAGAAATCTAAGTGCTCTTACTTTAGTTATGGTTGAAATATTAACTAAATATCTAAAACTTCACAAAATAATATGTGGTATAATTATATAAATTTACTGTTGCAGAGCTTAATTTTACATTCACCAAAAGTCTCTGTCCTGATACATGGTCTGTTTGGATTTACGCATTACTACTTCTACTTGCTAGTGCAATATGGGAACAGAACTACATTTGGAACCTACAGTAAAGCTGCTGTGCAAACTGTTATGACCAGCGTATTAGGTGAGTGAAGTTGTAAGTTTGGCCGCAAAATTGGCTCGGAGAATATGCTTCTCATCCCAGGTCACTTGGTAAAATAAACAGAAATAATAATGATAATAATAATAATAATAATAATAACAAAGTAAGTAAACTAATAAAATAACCTTGATAGAGGTTGAGCAAAATATAAAAGAGCTTGTAGGAGGCAAGTGTGAATCAGTTGTGCAAAATGCAAACGGCGATCATCTCTAGTTCATTACACATTGCTAGAATGTTCAAGCTGAGTGGTTAGATATCTATAGGAATTTTGGATGCCTATTTTAACATATACTTAATCTTGTACATTATCGAAATTTTATTGACATACCTTAGACGTTCTCATTATTTAATGGACAGCTATATGAACGATGATTTTTAACTTATGAACCTTTTTATTTTATAATTAAGATGTTCATAAAGCTTGGAGGATTTTTTTATTGTTTTATTTTTTTTATGACACTTTTATCAAATCATTTCTACCCAGTTTTTTTTTTTTTTTGCACTAATTATTGTGTAATTGTTACTACAAGTTTTGGTCAACGCTGCGGCTGGTTACGGTTTGCTGCCCAGCTAAAGCTTTAATTTTTCTACTCTGGGCATCCAGACGTTTGTGCTGCCATAATAATAATATATATTTTTGGAATAATAAAAGTAATTTTATTCAACTTTGAAAATATGTGCATAATTACAGAAAAACTTGAAGTAAGAATTAAGTACTATATAACATTAAGAATTATATAAATCATAAAAATACAATCATTGTGTCGCTAACAATTTCCCAAATACATTCCCTGCATCTCAGATGCGATCATTATCTCTTGCACACAGTCCAGTGCTGTTAAAATTGAGTCACATGACGAAAGAAAATTAATATGAATAGTAATAATAACAACAACAACAACAACAGCAAATAAGCTTGTTGCTTGTCCTCTGCTGCCTTCCTACCCTTGGTCGATTGGTTCAAGAGAATTATGTTTGACCTCTTTGACTAATCATTATCTGTAGAATGCAGATTCAACCCACCCCTTGCCATTTAAGCCACTTTAATGTTACTCATACCACTCATCTCATCCCCACTAACTGTGAAGAGGGATGAAAGGTTGGTGACAGTCTGTCAAGTCTTTCCTAGCCTTGGTACAGCTCCCCCCTCCCTCTCAGAAAAAATCGGGGGACCGCTAGTCTTACTGCACATTAATGCAGTTTCCCTATCTCCAGTAAAAAGTGTGTCAATGATAAAACAATAAATGTATGAACTGCTTTCAGTTGTTGGATCATATTTTAGAATAAAAAGCTTAAATACGGAGTACAGTAGTCTTTCGCAAAATGTAAATTGCTTGACCTAAAGATCTCTATTGTTTTTGTGGGAATCCCACAAAGCTCCAACCTGGTGAAAGCGGTGAAGTTTATCTTATTCAAGAAGAGTTTTATATGTAACAATCTGTACATTTTAGCTCCAAGTCGTCCTGCAACAATTATAAACTGCAGTCAATGGAGAAACGCTAGCAGTGATCCACATATGATAGTCACATGGGAGGTAAGAAAAATACTGCGATCACAGGTAACCCAGGCTCTATGATGATAGTACCACAGTAAGGTTCCAATAAAATTACAGTGTTTTTATGGGGTAAAAATGCCATCCTAAAATTTCTAGGAAATACTAAATAAAGATCAATGAAACTTACTCTGCAGTTAATTGTTGTTGTCCTTATTGCTCCAACGAAGTTTCGTGATAATTTGCAGTAATTTGTTCAAATTCACTCTATGTACAATAATAATATACTAGGGTATCTAAAAGATAGTAATGCTGCGGCACATTCTGTTGATACTGGCATTAGTTAGGCAGTGAGACTTAAAAGAATCAAAAATGACATTGAATGTCCTATTTACATGTTGGAAAGTACTAGAATAGTTACTATCAGTCTATAGAAAGAACTCGTGGGAACGTTGTTTAGAAAATGATCAAGTGGTTATCAACTCTGGTTTTCCCACAGTAAATTGTAGGAAATAATAGAAATTGAGATTGATTATCCAGATATTTAATATACAGTGCACGATATTTTCTCTGGAAACACAATACTTTTCTTGCTGTTTGTTGCACTTTATTAAGTAACAGTTATTTAGCTATATATTTATAGAAAACAACAACACAAAAAAAGGAAAAAAAAAGAAAGTAGGAATAAATAATTCGGTAGGACTCAAACCCGGCACCTTCGACTCGACGCGACTACACCTAACCACACTACACCACAGAGGCTGATTACGTAATTTCCGGGAAAAGTGTTTCGCTTTATTCCTTTTCTATGAAACTTCCGCCGGCAAGATGATCGCCAGCCGCATTAACCGAGCTATTAGCAGTGAAAAAACAATGTAAACGCATATTCCATGGCAATGAATGAATGAAAGAACATAATTATGCTTTTCAAAACGCCGATACACGTCCTGGTCTGCAAAGTAGGACACAAAACATATGTTTTGTTATCTCGATTTCCGCTGTTATTTTGAAGCGAATGGTCAAACTCACATCCATTTTCGGCTCATACAGTTTCTTAAGAATAGCATTGCATGACATTTTCTCACTTTCACATCACCTTCTAGCAAGCTGGAATTAGTATATCCCCCGTGTTGCGGAGTCGAAGAGCAAATGCTCATCTTCTCGTCAGGTTTAACACCTGGACGAGTCAAAAAAGGCTCTTGAATTGAAATCCAATCCCCAAGTTAACCATCGTACTCATCTGAAAGACTCTTGCGTGTCTTAAAATTTGGTAAGACCTTTAACCGTGCTGTAGAACTGAGCAGCGAACGATACACTACTTCCCCGTGTTTTCATTTGAGTTGTTCGTGGCGCAATGCACTCTGGTTAAATGCAATGCATTGTGGTAAAAAGTGTGGTTAAATGCAATGCATTGTGGTAAAAAGTGATGAATTCGAGAATTCGTCGCCCCTTTATATATTTCCTTAAAATCCTGATTATGTTGCTGCTCGCTCCCTTCGGTCGCTCCGCAGCAACAAGGTAGGAGACACGAGATGCCATTTTCGCCGACATGCTCTCATTCAACACTACTTTTTCCACGAAATTCAAACTCCAACGGAAAATAAACATGCCAGGATCGTAGAAATAGGATAGCAGCAGAAATAGAAACCAATGAAGCTTTCCCAGATAGAGAAACGAATCCCACAGACTTTGACAAACTCGAAGGATGTAATCCAAACAGACCGAGAATATGCTCGCCGAAGCAACCGGGCCAGATCGACGCGCGGCCAATTTCTGGGGACCGATACATCATTTGCTCAAAGCCACCCTACCCTGCTGAAAAAATACTTGATAGAAGGCAATTGTTCTTCCTAGCCAATCACAATTCGCCAGAGCAAACCCCACACACGCGCCTAAATTTAAATGGCTGAAAAAAAAAATAAAACCAGCATAGTCTGCCGAGTTACAAGGATCATCCCCATTTCTTTTACTAAGGAACGCAAATAACGGTAATGAAACTATGAAATAATAACGCGAAATACTTACAAGGCGAGCTAAAAACGACTTTCTATTATCCATGATAGAAGGCAATTGTTCTTCCTAGCCAATCACAATTCGCCAGAGCAAACCTTACACACGCGCCTAAATTTTAATGGCTAAAAAAAAAAAAACCAGGATAGTCTGCCGAGTTACAAGGCGCCCCATTTCTTTTACTAAGGAACGCAAATAACGGTAATGAAACTATGAAATAATAACGCGAAATACTAGGCGGGCTAAAAACGAGGTTGATCAAGAGGTAGATGATGACTGAGATACTGTTGCTGTGAACTCTCGAGCGAGACGATCGTAAATAAACGGTGAAGCTTACAAAATAGTGACAAAAATTATACAGAAAATTCCAACAAAATATGAATTGCGATGACTGAGACGAATGTGAAAGGCATGTGCACCAGTAAACAAAGAACTAGCACGATTAACATATTTAGCGATTAATGCGGCCGTAACACGCCGACTTCTTGTTAATACAACCGGACGTTCCGTCAGTTAATTAAGTGAACCATCGTCAGGGGCGGATCCAGGATTTTTTTTAGGAGGGGGTACACTCGTCTCTTGCTCTACCTCAACACCAATAAACCACAATTTTTTTTTGCAGAATACCAGTTGTATTAGAAAACCGCAGGTCATCTCAGGGGGGAGGGGGGGTGCGCACCCCCTGCACCCTCCCCCTAGATCCGCCCCTGATCGTGACACCTCTCTTTGAATTTGGTCCTGTTGTGCAAATGCCGCGGTGAGAGCCAAAATTCACTTATATCTTTTGCTCGTTTTAAGTTTTGTAAATCCTCCTTCCTTGTTGTTTCCTTTGCCCTTATAACCTTGCCCTACTGATGTTTGATAGACTTTCTGAGGACCAGTGCCAGGCGCTGAATATAGTTCGAGAGGGACATAATATCTTTATAACAGGCAAGGCTGGTACGGCTAGGAAGAACAATTGCCTTCTATCAAGTATCTTTTCAGCTGGGTAGGGTGGCTTTGGGCAAATGATGTATCGGTCCCCAGAAAGATTACCTCAGGACTCCCGGGATGGTTTTTTTTTGTACAGTACCCAGGCCTCATTTTCCTGGCCGCGCGTTGATCTGGCTCGGCTGCTTCGGCGAGCATATTCTCGGTCTGTTTGGATTATATCCTTCCTGTTTGGATTATATCCATGACTAGTACATTTCACTGTGAGTGTTGTCAATGTTTTACATTCAAAAGATGCGATAAATTCAAACTAAAATGTACTAGTCATGGAGGTATGTATTGTCCGCATTAATTTGGAAAAATAAGCGTAACGTCAAAAAAGGGAATTTTGTGGCGCGAATTCATGACCAGTTCGTAGGATAGGTTTGTCTTGAAATTTCAAGGTGTTGCAGTGAATCAATCTTAATGAAAATTTCAGAGGTTATTATACATATTATGAATACTATGTGAAGAGATTTTAAAAAAATTCGTTCGAGTCGTTTTAGAGATATACAAAAGAGCGCTAAAAGTCCAAATTTTTAGTGAAGTTGCACTTATACAGGTGGTGAGAAAAAGGGTTAGTTTTCAAGATAGCAAGAACGAAAATACACCAAAGCTTCCTAGCATCGAAATATGAAATAACGTAGCATTCTGACGCTACTTAAGAGTAATTTGAGCCTTGTATAACGTTTTCGTTAAATAATCTATCACGGCTATTGAAAATTTAAGGTTTGAAATATATTTTCGTTTTAGTCGAATTCAAACGTACAGAATTTTTCACTTCTTACGGAGATTGTTTTCTAAACACCAAACTTTAAGTTCCTAGTGTTGGATTTTCACAAAAGCTGGTCTAGGTCACACAAAATTTGACTTTTATCAATTTCAATGTTTTTTGTTTATTCATGTCATAGTAATACTCGTGAGAATTCTATAGCAATCGGACAAAGAAAAAAAACACTCTTAAGGCGACTGAAAAATATCGGTATATCCTGTGAAAAACTGTATCGAAACACCTTAACAATAGGTAACTTATGCAGCTGCGAAAAGAAAGCCTGAAACATTCAGGTTTGCCGAGATTCGAACCCTAAACTCTTCGATACCTGTGCAGCGCTGACCAACTGAGGTAGCAAGCCAACTGGGAGCTGGTCATTATATTGGTTCGTAATGTACCCGGGAAAGAATAAGATGAAATGATGAATGTAAACTAATTTCATTTAGTAAAATCCAACTAGTGGTCTATTAACAATGCTGCGTTCTGATTGGTTGAGCTACTACTAGGCTATGTGTTTAGCCCACTAGTAGCGAAAAGCGCCGTCTTTTTGGCGGCAAAAAAGGATTAAAAACTAGCTTTAACTAGCTAGAGTTGTTTGGTCTCGATATTTTTGACCAACTAGTTGGATTTTACTAAAACAATTATTGCTATCGCGTTCGTGGCCTCTGAGTCAATAGCGGGCTTGAGGAATAATCGTTAAATATTCGTCATTTCAAAAAGCACTTAGCTTGCATTCTTTGACAGAAGAGTTTTTTCTCTCAACCAGTTTCCACCCTCCAAGAATTGGAATGGTCCTTTAAAGTACACGAAAATCAGTTACCGTTGTCAAAGAGGTTCTCGTAAAATAGAAAGAACTGTTTCACTGACTAATTCAACTGTTCGAAGTGTGGCTTTACCTGGCATACAAGCAACTGATAAATGCTCTGTTTGGATGAGGATTTGTAATGGACCACAGCTCTGCAGTGCCATCAGCAATATCTGTGTTAAGCCGGGAAAAATAGAAGGTGAATCATTGAATGGACGTCACATATCTATAGATGAGCTGTGAAAGACAGCACGCTTTGTTATACAGCTAAATCAAAAAAGGTTGCTTTGGTAGTAGGTCATTGGGAATTGTGCATTGAGCATTTGGGCATTTCGAACAATGCAATGAGTTACTTGAGTGACCACCAAACAATAGCTTCCCAATGCCCAAGCAACCTTTATTGAATCAGCGATATAAAACCCTATCACTCATTCTTGACGTTTATTTTTTCCTAAAGCCATTTGCTGTTCGAATCAATTGTTGAAAGTTCTGCTAAAAACGTTACTAACTCAAATGGCGAAATGCAATGAATGCGTGAAATATAGAGAGCCTGCTATCACTCAGGTAGCTCCTGTTTAAGTAGACATACAGTGTACTATTAGTAGGACTTAAGTAGAGTCTAGTTAGGTCTGCATGCTTTCATACGGTTGGTTAAACAACATTTCCATTTAAGTATGATAGCAGATAAAACTTAACTGTGCGAAGTGCTGTTACTAACACCAATTTTGTTACTGTAACCCCAGGCCCCATCCGGGTGTTCAAACGTTGGATATCCCTATCCACCGAGGTCGGGTTGTTCAAAGCTGGGTCAAGATAACCCAGGGTCAGTGCGAAATTTGCATTCAGATATGAAACCTTAAAAAGTACATTTGAAATTCAGTTTTAATTAATTGTTTTTGTCAGCTAGTTGATGATTGGATGCGCTTAAAAATAACAGAGAAAATTATCCGAGAAAATGTTTTTGAACAAAATAAAAAGAAACCCGGGTTAAAGTTAACCCTGGATTAAGCGCTGATCGGTCTTCGAACAACTGGGTCCCGCAGATAAATCACTATCTAGTGGATAAGTATTAGAGGAAGTGATGGCGTTATCCACCGGATAGTTATTTATCCAGTGCATAACGCACCTGTTAAACAACTAGGATTAAGACTTCAAGCTTGGACAAAGGCAATCCCTTATTCCAGTCACTTAATGGCATTTTTGCGCGTCTTTTTGTAGATAAAAAGCTGCTCTCCTCGCGGGATTCCAAACCAAGTGTTCTAAAGATAGTACTTATTAGTTTGGCTGGGGCAACAAGTGGAGTAGCACTGGTTTTCATTGTCGCCAGATGTGTTTGCAGGTGAGAAATGCGGCTAAAGGTAGAGATTATATTTGTTAAAGCAGGCAGTTTTTAACTTTCCAAAAAAAAAAACAACCAAACAAAAGAAATTGTCGCATTTCTTACGCCATGTATTGTTACTGGAATTCCAGTGGTGGAAATCCAAGAATAAAACAAAAGAAATGTTCCTTACAGTAATTTTCATTTCATTCGTGCGTCGTGAAAGCATCTTGGTATTTGCCAACTGCTCTGCATGTCATTTGAAAATAACTGTGAGTGTCTCAGCTAATTTGAGTTGCTTCTGATCGAAAATTAAATATTTGCTCTTTTGCACGTTATATTTGTAGAAGAGGTGAGGAAAGAGAGGTGCAGCCACTGGCGAATTTATTGGTAAGCAAGGCAACATCGTCCTCTGTATTATTTAAACACGTGTGCTCAAGTTACACCTTTGCATCATATTTTTTCGTGAAATTAGTATGTGTAATCAAATGATGACGAGTGAAATTATTGAATAACTTTATTCGTGTTCAAATTCGGAAAAAATTAGGATTTGTACAATACGCAAGAGAAATAATTCCCTTATTTCACGAGTATGCCTGCTATGCCATTTCTTATTCATATAATTGGTTACAAATTACGCTCGTACAAAGGTGCGTTTTTGACATACTTAACGTATCGATCGAGAAGTCCACGTACTAAAATGTTTAGAGCTTAAATGTTGGCTTGAGTTCATAATTTTCAGAATTTTTCGACAAACTACCTTTTAGAATCCGCCTTGGTTTGCTCTTTCGTGTTTTTACGTTTCCTAAAGCGTCTTTCAATGCTGTGACGTCTTCATAAGGACTGAAACGTATGCAACGTTGTCGTGGCAATTTTGTAATTTCACATGTGAAATTATAAGTTTGTCACCCATGATATTAATCATTTGAAAATTTTACTGTGGGTGATGAGAACTGTTTATTGTTAAAACAGACAAGAAATACATGTGGAAAGAATTTGAATCAATTGAGTAACATAGTCAAACATGACTTTCAAACCTTCATTAAACTCTTTCACCATTCTGACAGGGTGAAATGTCCGCTCCAGTTCATGGCTATGACGAAATTGAGGAACCCTTAGTGAACAACCACTACGAAATGCTCGTCTAAATTATAGTCGCCTGACGGCCTAGCAAAGGCAAAGCAGCATTATCGTCTCTGAAAGTGTTGATGATAAGACCGCCATTATCATCTCCTGGGGCTTCCTGAGGTATTGCCAGTTTATAACTGATGCTGTAGATGCCAGGAATTCAGGACCAGTTTTGGCGATGCTCCTGTGATTGCAATTGCACCAAAAAACATCCAGTGGGCTCTTAAAGTCTTTGCCACCGATCGTGTCGTCTATCAGCCTTAACACTGATGCTAAGCAGACCCCTGGAAATTCAGGGCCAGTTTCGGCCAACTGACAACCAGGGAGGACCCTGCACCCCATCTAACAAACTTGAGAAAAGCTTACCCTCGACTGGGCTTTGCATTACACCAACCAAGAGACGTCGGGCTATCACAGACTTGGTCATCGCTTGAACTTATCTATCAGTCTCGAAGATGTCAAAGCCAGTTTAGGCCTAGTCTGCTACAAAGTCGTCACGCAACGCTCCTCCTCAAAAAAGGCTACTCACATTCGAACAACATTCCTTTCCCGCGGTTAGCTAATTAGAATTCAGCTCCCATTTTCTGGAAGGTGTTCGCGCCACATTTGTGGTACAGTGAATCCTCCAATCACAGCTCCCCATGTGGGGAGGAGGGTTGGTTGACGACAATAAAAACGGCTGTGTCGCAGACTAGTTTAGGCCAAGACCCAGTTGAAATTATCACCAACTTGAGACTTGAGTGCACCAAAAGAATTTGGGTCGGTTATTTAAACGAAGTCTAACTTAGACCGCGGTTTAGCAAATCTTTGGACCTCCAGATATCTTCCTTAGCGGGTAATTTTAACAAAATAAGTGCTCTTCCAGTCTACGCCTTATGCTTTCATGGACCTTTTCACGATAACTGGTGTTAAGATAAAAACATTGGGCAAACTGAAAATGGCTAAGAACGTGGTTTTATTTAACACTGGCTAAACTTCATTTAAATAACTGCCCCTTTGAGTTTTGTAGTCTTTGTCGTGCTTCTCGTAATGTTTTAATGGTACCTGACCCACGACACCTTTGTCGCTGTTTAGTAGTATACTGACCAGTTTCTAAAAACGTGAAACTGCTTAAAAGAGTGGTTCTATTTATGGCAGTTATGTTATGGTATAGTTGCTCCATATCGTAAGGCTAGATAACAGTTGAACGTTAAAAAAGAGGATTAAAAACACTGTAGAAATGATTTTCCCTTTGAACGTGATTTGCCTACTTTATCTACTGAAGCCCTACTGAATAGGATATTCAACTGTACATCTTCTGGGCTACATTTGATGAGCTGCAAATTTACTTTTTCTGAAGAGGGAACACTGCGCCTTACCCGAGATGTACTTTTTAGTAATACAGTAAATTTAGATTGGGTAATGAATTCTTTACTCTTTACACGTCCCACAAACGCTTATAAAATACGCCATACTGAATAACATGAGTGGAGTTCGCGGACGTTTTGCCAACTTTCTAAACTACGTTGAAAACCCCGATATAACAGGCTTGAAGGGACTGTGGCGACGAACGACACAAAGATACGTTAAAACTGCGACAGTGACGATGGCAAGAGCAGATACAATAAGTAAATGCGGACGGGGACACGACTTTCTCCTCAATACGTGGAACGAAAGGTTTTGAAATTCAGACTATTAAGGGACGTACAAACTACCCTCACCCTTCCTTGAAGGGGGCTCTAAGTCAAGATCCTGTTCCGTGCGCTTTGCAACAGAGGAAGGTAAGAATGTTACTGGTAATACTGTGGTTACGTTGTTCATTTTATCGAGGTTTCTGACTGTAATACTCTGTTATTTGTGGGTTTTGACGATGTAACATTCAAGGGACCAATAGCCTCTTCCAAGCATTCAGATAGTGGAGAGCGGTGCGAAGTAAAGAAAGCGATGAAAAGTAGAGGGGGACTGGGGAGAGAGGTGCTTTTATTTTTTCGCGCTCCTTTTACTTCGCACCGCTCCCCACTATCTGAACGCCTGGAACAGGCTAAGGGACCAAAGTTGGACTAAATTGTGACATAGCGAGTCAAAAGCCTTACCCATGTCTTTAGATAGAATGGTCACTGATTCTTTTCTGTCAGTAGCATGTTTCCAGTCCTCTGTAATTCTTATTAATATCGTTTCACAGCTGTGATTCTTTCTGTATGCTGTCAATCTTGGATATAGAGTAGGCTGGGTCAAAATATTGGGTTATTTGTTTGCTAAGCAGTGATTTAAACCTTGTCAATAATCGGAAGCGTAGTGATAGGTCGTTAATTCTACATTTTGCTTGTCCCCTTTCTTGAAAATAGGAGTGAGCTCTCCCCTTTTCCATATAGCTGGCCAGTTACTAGTTTCAATGCATCTGTTGTAAACATTCGTCACTGATGGTGCAATCCCTCTGCAACTTTCTTCATCAATTTAGGCATTAGTCCAGTGTCACTACAAGATTTTCTAGGACTGAGGTTTTCAAATAAGTCTTGTACGTCTTTTTGTATTTACATGTTTGAATTGAAATGAAGGGTTGCTATAGATGGTTTCGATCATTTGAACGCTACTGTGGTTGTCAAATTCATTTTCAGTTAAACTGATCACATGGTTGCCACCGATATCAGATGCAATAGTGGAGAAACAGTTGGCAAGAGTCTCAGCAACTTGCTTTGATCTTCAATAATGCCATCCTCATGTTTGTTTCTAAGGAATATTGGATTAGCATCTTTTGTCTTGTTGTTCAGAAAAGGTCGAAATAAAAAATACAAAAAAATACAAAATACAATTATTACTCCTGTATGGAAGGAGGTAGACTACTCCGATCAGTTAGTGTCACCGATTTTTAGATTGGACGAATACAAATGGAATGTCTTGCAACCCAAGCAAATAAAAAAGAGTTGACGATCAAAAAGAGAGGCAACTACGATCTCTATTCACCTATTAGGATGATACCAAGCTGTAAAGAAGTTGAGATTTTTGGCGTCACCTTCCAATGTGAAAGCAAATTATCAGTGCACGTGAAGAACAAACTTATTAAAGCTAACAAATCCCTACATATCCTTAGAACGCTGGGCAAAGAGGGGTACAATCAGTCAGAAATAGACCTTCTCTTTAATACAATAGTTCTACCTAATATTAATTACGCATTATCTGTCTACGCCTCGTCCGAGTCCGATCTTACACCTGTACAATGTTTCTTAGACCGCTGTTTCAAAAGGAAATATACGTCTAAGCCTGTAAGTGATTATGATTTCTTGGAGGCAAGACCGTAGAATTTTCAGAAAAGTTACTAAATAAATGCTAAAGGCATCCACTTTTATCTATATATTATGCCTCGTGTTAAACCGTCCAGTTACAATCTTAGGAACGAAACTTGTTTTAAACCCAAGATTAACACTATGCGTTTTAAAAACCCTTTCATTAACCGTTTAGTTTTTAAATATGAATAAGCTATGTAATATACTGGATTTTTAATTCTTACGTTTTATCTTTTTCAAAACTTTTTACACTTAATTGTAACAAAAGATATGTATTTTTTATCTTCTGATGAATAAAGACTTTATTATTATTGTTTTAATTATTTCATAATAAATCCGGTAGTCATGGGGTTCCAAACGCAAAATTTGTTCAATTTTACGTTTCTCCTGGTCGATTTTGGTAAAGTGTGTGCGAACGAACTCAAATGCTTCTTCTAGAGAAGACTATTTTCCACAAATATTGACTGTTTTGTTAGAGATTCGTTGCGTTTACATTTGACTTGTGTGGCCATATGTCTTTTGTCTGTCATTCGTAAACAATAACTAATGTAACTACTCCGTCGACCAATCAGCGCTTCTGACCGGATTCCGGACAGATTTTACGTCAGCAGTATGGAATTTCTGTCGCTGAGTCGCAGACGTTCCTCCTCGCGAAACGTGCTCAGCGGCGAAGAGCGAGGAGAAACGGTTGTTTTCGCAGGCTAAAAAGCGTTCGGCAAACTGAAAATGGCTAAGAACGCAGTTTTGTTAAACACTGGCTAAATTCCGTTTAAGCAACTGGGTCGTCCTGATTCTGGTATGGGATGCGCATGCACAAGTTAAATGTCGAAGGAGCTGAAGTAGTTTTCTTTAAAAAGTTGTCCTTGACCTTTAAAGCTGATGACGTCACAAGCAATGCAAGGGACGTGGATCCGCACGGGCGGTTACGGGTGGACCAGGGGGGAATGTGCTAACCTCATTCAATTTCGAATTCCGTGCTTTTCAATCATGAGTCTCTGCATTTCTCTTTCTGTTGGGCACATTTGAAAGTTTTGTCGTTTCTCCTTCCACAGTTTTGAGTTATGCTAAATTAAATCAATTCCGATAAACGTCGAATGTGCATGAGTAAAATCAGTATTCAAGTAATTATTGAATACATGTTAGTGGATTTAAGCCACGTTTCAGTCTTCCTAGTCAATTGTTCTTATTCTAAAATGAACATTAAATTTAGATGACTGGCGTCATACTGAGAACTAGAGATGTTAAAATACTGCCGAACACGACAGAAAATATCAAAATCATTTTCATTTGGAAAGAAGTGGTCAGCCATTATTTCTTGAAGTATTAATGATTTTGAGAAGTGACGGCAAAGGTAGGTAAAAATTTGAGATCAAGTTGCATAGCCTTCATGATTGAAGTTACCCCCAGTTTTGCGGTTCTTGCGGTCATCATAGGACCTGGACCCCAGAGAGTGGATTTCTCGATATTAGTTTCTGTCAATTCAAGTTGCATGCCAAAAAATATTCGGTTCCTCGAACAGCTTCACAGAACTAATGGTATTTTCACTAATGCTGACCACTGATGCTGTTACGATGTTACGAAAACGTCACTCAAAAAGTCAAGTCGCACTGCTTCCAACTTTGTTCCTGCACGCTTTATTCCTAAAATTTTGGCAAGAAAGTCGTTGTCTTGTGTTCACACCTTCCCCCCCGCCCCGACAAAACTTGACATTAGGCATTTTCACGTCGTAGTCGTGCAGTGACGGCAGCGAAATGCCAAAAAACCGTTATGCACGTGCAGAGTTGTTGTTTTGTCAATCTAGTTTTTTGCCGTTCTCGCTAACGTCGCTGTCGTCTTTGCTCACGAAACAAACGGACGAAACAAAACCTCTTTACTTTTAAGTCGGTTACGCGAAAGGAGTAGATTTATCGCTTTATCGTCAACGAACAATTACCTGAGTGCAAGCTGCTGAATATTTTTAACCTCCTTCTACACTACTCCTACCTCCTTCTTTTGCGTACACCGCAACAAAGGATTATTTTCGCCGTATTTCTGATCTCGGAAGTGTGACAGTTACCCTGCGAGCAGATGCTGCATTTTCGCGGTATAAGCAGGCGTCTGAAAAGTAGCCCCTGCCGACAACTACTTTTCCAACGCCAGCTCATACCGCGAAAATATAGCCTCTGCTCGCAGGGTATGTGACAGTATTAATTCAAAAAAAACTCAAACGCAGCAAAATTGTAATTAAAGGAAACTTATCAAACTGCACCCACAAACGAACGTTCCTTGAGACATGACATACAATCACCATCTTTATTTAATCTTTTTGTGCATTTAAGCGTGTATGAGCATAAACGTTTTCCGTATACATGTGGTATTCAGAAATTTCCTGAAGATATCATAACATTTTCCAAGGTATTACCCTTTTCATATACAATCAATTGAAAGAGAATCCTAAATTTTTGATATTATTTGCTGTTCTCTACACGAAGGTTCTTTCAAGAATGAGTGCGAATTTTAACGACTGAATTCGTACGACATTTTGAGTTTGATGAAAGTCAATTGCAGAAATTCAATGAATCTTGTTCGGTACTTAAAGTATAAAGGAAATGTCCTGACGTCACTATTTCAATTAGGCATACGCATTTAGAAGTTAGTTTAAAGTTCCCTTAAAGTAACTTTACTTTAAAACGTAAGTTAGTAAAGTAAATAAACTTTGCGGAAATTTCATGACTTGGTATTTGACCTTGGGCAACATATAAATATCGCTTGTGCCTTTCGGCTGGTTAATTATATCTCACTAGCAACTTGATCGATATACAAAGAAGAGTAAGTCTTCAAGGTAAGCAGTAAGTTAGTAAGTGTACAAATAACCCTAGCTACCTGAACCTTAAACGTTGGAAATAATGATGGAAAATGTTGTGTTTATGTAGGTCTCACTCGTTCGCTCACTCGCTCGTTTGCGATCTTTCACAA